TTGTTGTTGTTGTTAGTGGTGGTGGTAGTAGCAGCAGCAACGGCAGCACCAGCAGGAGTAGTAGTAGTAGTAGTAGTAGTAGTAGTTGTTGTTGTTGTAGCAGTAGTAGCGGTAGTAGCGGTAGTAGCGGTAGTAGTAGTAGTAGTAGTAGTAGTAGTAGTAGTAGTAGAGGTAGTAGTCTTAGTAGTAGCAGTAGCAGTAGCAGTAGCAGTAGCAGTAGCCGTAGCAGTGGCAGTAGTAGTAGTAGTAGAAGAAGAAGTAGAAGTAGAAGTAGAAGTAGAAGTAGAAGTAGAAGTAGGAGTCGTAGTAGGAGTAGTAGTAGTGGTAGTAGTAGTAGTAGTAGTAGTATTATACTCGTCTACTAGGACTATATAGGACTAGGACTACTACTGGGACTCGGACTACTACTAGGACTAGTACTAGTACTAGTATAAACACAAGCGCTAGCTAGCACTAGCTCGCACTAGTACTAGCAGCCGGTTTCACGCCCTCTGTTGCTGCGTTCATGCGTGTCAAAGTGTGCCCCCGCACCACACAACACTTGCTGAATTACATGGGACAGGCATGCCTGTGTGTACAGTGCACATATATGTATGGAGAGGAGCATGTCCACGCATACAGGCAATTGAGCCAAGCTTCCTCTTTTCGATCCACATTAGTGGCATCCACAGTATCCCACTCCGGAGCTGGGATCTTTGAGACGACTTGCTGAACATGTCGCGCCAAGGTGGAGAAATGTGCCGCCATGACCTCGCATGTTTTCGGCCCGATGCACTGGTCCTCTACATTACTGAACTTGGCGAAACGAACAGAGGCGGTGGCCGCTCAGTCCAAGTTGCTGGAAAGGACCAGACGCGCAGGTTGAGCACCTCCTTGAGAATCAAACGAAATTCCGGGTCGCCCACTTGAGCCAAAAATTGAAGCTTCGGATTTCTGGCATTCCGCGCGGCAGGTTCATCGCCCTTAAGAAGCAGGGTGGCAGAAGTGGCACATCTAGACACGCAATACTCAGAAAAGCTAAGTCGATGAACGTCTGTGCTGTGTGACTCAAGTGAGAGTGGGACATCCTCGGAGCTCTGCCGGCCCCTGATCCCCGGCCACCTCCTCTGCTGGTTCGGGCGTGAGGGGACCGGCTTCTCCACAAAATGCACGGATGACCTCCATGGCCACCTCTTCAGCATCGGTCACGGAGACTCTTGAAGGAATGACTCCGACTAAAGCGGCTGTGCCTGCAACTTCAAGTAGCCCCTTGCAGGACCTCCCCTGCTGGGATGGCCCCGAAGGCACTGGCGACGGTAGGCGAGGGAGACTTCCTGCGAAACTCGCCAAGGCCGCCAAGGAGTCAAAACTGGAAGGCCCCACTCCGCCTGCATAACTTAACCGCTTGCGGGTTCTGGAGAAACTCCTTGGCCTTGTGTCTAAATGCTTCCATGATCATCGCTACCAATTCAATAATGGTTGCTGCCAGTGTTGTCAAATGAAAGTAAATACATCACGTGGTATACATACAATCATACAATACGTACCGAGGCAGGCCTGTGTGCGGGTGTATGTGTCTCTGTGCGGGCACATGTATGTATGCATACTTTAGCTTGTTCCACTGCTGGCAGAAATCGTGCATCGAACGAAACGGATGCGACAACTTCTGCAGAGCGATGCCCCCGTCGCACACTGCCCTTGACCCAGTGGCCGCCGACCTCCACCATGACACCAGACCAGTCACCTTCCCTGACGTCGCCGAAGCCGAGCAGCTCGAAGGACTCCTCTCCAAGTCAACTAATTCGGTAATATTGCTGGAAAAGCTCCAAGGCCAGACGTAGCATGGATGCAGGCAGTTTGCGACGGAGAAAAGACACGTGGTGCTTTGGGGCTTGCTTTCGGGAAGCTTGAAGTGCACTGGCAACGCCATGACACCAGCTGATGCAGAGAAGCTCGAAGCTGGCCTTCACCGCATCCGCTGGAGACTTGGAAAACATCTCCTGGTGGAGCCAGTCGGCTTCGTTGTATCCGCCTGAAGCGATTTACCAACCCAGAAACTAATGCGTCACAGCTCGAGCTGAACTAAACGAGATCTGCCATCCAGCTACCCACGATGGCACCCAGTGGCCCTCCAAGCACCTGCAACAATATGCAGAGAGGCGACGGATCCCCATAGCATACAACCTCCCTGATGATCCACTGCGTGCACCAACAGGCCCTGCGACCAACCGCACAAGTCCAACATGACATGCTGTCGAAAGAGCTCACGTAGCAAAAGGGGCTTGCTCATCTCCTTGTTCTCTCTTCTTCAACTCAGCCAAAGGAAGGGCATGCCCCCCCCCTGCACTCGCGAGCGTCTCCTTTTCTCTCTCCCTCTCTCTCTCTCTCTACCGGGACAGGAGAGGCAAGGCGAACCCTACCCCTCCGCGCGCGCACGCGCACCCGCAGGTCAAGGCGGGGTTTTAGACTTCCCCCTGGGAGCTATGCCCCTAAGTGGCTCGGCTGTACAAGCTCTGCAAAGAACCTCCCCCTTGGCGGTTGTCTGAAAGCAACACAACAGACTAAACAGTGAGTAGGTTTTCTCCCCCGCCACGGAGGGCCTGCTGGTGTCCACTCAAGGATTGCAGTCACACCGCTTAACTGAACAACAGAACATAACAAAACAACCGGACGTCCCCCCTAGCACCGTTCAAACTGTGACTGCAGGCTGAGGCTCCGGCCGATGCAATGAACGACACAGCATGTCATGCTTGAGGGGTTTCGGGCGTACTGGTTTACAACAGGATTCCCCCGGCTGGGAGCGATGGGCACAGCATGCGGCAGAGCGTTATTGCTACCATTGGCCCCCCCCTATCAGTCGGGGCGCTTTGGCGGGTGTGCTCCCCGCTCGAACAGGAACCACTGTTGCTCACTCCGACGGGCACTACATGGCATGTGCTACGCTCCTAAGGCCAGTGGAAGTGGTGGTGCCAGGGGTTTGTACGGAAGCAACAAACGCACAGGACAGCTCAGTACGTGGACAACAGCTTGCCATAAACACTGTAACAAATCCCCCCTTTGTTGGCACCAAAGGTTACAGGTGGCGTGGTTTCTGCTCCCCTACTGTTCTTTGGTCCCCCAGGAGGAAAAGAAAGGCGGGTAAAGAGCACCTGGTCGAAAGGGGTTCCCTCCTGAGGTTGCATCGAACAGACCTCGGTGCTGCCACAAGGCTCTTCGGTTGACATGCTAGGCATAGGTCGTGAAAGCCCCCCCCATTCGACTTCAGTTTTCCTAGTTAAGTCCTGCAGCACAACTCCCCCCCCCTCTCTCCCTCTCTCTCTCTCTCTCCGTCCGTCCCTCTCTCTCTCTCGCCCTCTCCCTCCCTCCCGGGCATGAGGAAAAGCTCGCTCGCTCTCTTTCTCTCTCTCTCTCTCTTTCTTTCTTTCGCCAGGGCTATCTCTCTCTCTCTCTCCCGGGCATGGGGACGGGTCAACGTCCCGTCCCCGGGCATTTAGCCCACCCGATCTTATTGATCAGGATGGGGAGTGAGAAACGAGAGTAAACGATTCCAAAAGCTAAAGCCATCAAGTATACGATAACATTAAGGGAATCTTCGTACTCTCTCATTTGACACGTGCATACATGATCTCTTGGGTAACCCAAACACTTGCATACACGATCCCCCTGAATATCTCAATAACCAAAGGGCGGAGTTTTATTTCGGTCCTTTTTTTTGTTTGGTCCTTTTTTTTTGGCCCTCACGTCCTATTATTTACACACGATGCCGGCTGAATGTGTCGCCCCGCTGTGGTGCCGCGTCCCATTTTCCGCACAAGATGCTGGCTGCGTGTGTCTCCTGCTGTGGTGCGGTGTTGGCTGCTCGTTGGCGGCTGTCATTTACACTTGTTGTTGTTGTTGTCCGTGTAGTTG